AACGTGTAAGCTTATGTTTTTAAAGGGGGTTGTAGTCTGCTTATCATATACCTAAATGTATTTTATAAAAGTACGCGAAAAAATTCTCGTATTCTTTCCAGCACCTAGCAAGTCTAGGAAGGAAATTGTAAATTTGCATAATACATTATAATTTCAAATTTGATTATAATTTTGATAATAAAATTTTCGACCAGCTTAAAAAAAGTGACGCGAGGTAACAGGAGACGTCACTTTAAACTCTTGTGTTATCTTGAAATGATAGGAATTTGCTGCGATGATCGTCGAACCGAGGTTCACTCTATTTTTAAAATGATCAAAAAGTACCGAAATAACTGTCGCGCGTGCGTCGAATTCCGCAGGTCTACAGAAAAATGTCCGATCCGATATCGGGTCTTCCGGTCGAGTTTGGCGTGCCGAGCTTCTGTGCAAAAAAAAATGTTGATTATGGCAATTTTCCGCAATTCTCCCCTTTCACGCGCAGCGCGTGCGATGTGATGGACAATGGTGAGAGGTCGGTTGGACGTATAACGTTACGTAATAGCGTGCAGAGCCTCGGTATCGTTAAATTATCTCGAGCGTTATGACACCAGGTACTTAAAGAATCAGCGTGCGACTCTTATGTATGTGTGTTTGTGTGATTGCCTGTGCTAGCACGAATACGAGAGGTTAAAAAGGATTAAGTAATTTGGATCGATTGTTAGGATTGATGCACGAAAGAAATAAGTATAGAAGTGATCGCGTAAAAAAGTCGCTATCTGATCAAACGACGGAGGGCTTCATATATGCACTCTGTGCGAGTTTGCGTTAGCCTTTTATCGCGCGACTCACGTAACTTACGCATAAAGTTGAAAGACCCCCGTCTTTTCAAAATCCAACGTCGAGATGATATCGCACGAAATCCAAGAGGGAAATTTAGAAAATTGCATTCGCGGAGCGTGCTTCAGAGGCAAATTTTTTCTTTCAAACCATTTTGTCGTTGATGAGAACTTAATTGAGATGCAAGATATCGAGTGGAACTTTTGCATTCATAATCTGCATTACTAGAGAATACTAAAGATTCAATTTATGAGAATTGCAGATGGGTGAACTTTCGGAAAATGGAAGTTATGGATACAATTTTAACATGGAAGAAGTCATAGGTGTTTTATCTTTTATAGCTGCACCTATGTAGTTCTTTGCTCGACAAGGGCCAACATCGAGTTTTTCAAGCGAGAGTAGAAAAGACCACCATTACCACAAGCCCCGTGATAGGTATTGAATTTGCAAAAAACTAAATTTTGAAAACTAAATAAAATTGAACATCGCAATTTCGTGTCCAAACGAATTCCAATCAAGCTTCATTCTACCAAATACATTCAACTCAACAAAAGCAATGCGTCGTGCAGGAAAAATGTCAAGATTAGTCATCGCAAGCAGGCAAGAACGTCGCAGGTTCAATGACACACGTAAGTACGCGAACCGCCGCTCAATAAGCGGCAATATCTTGGCAACATTGGGTTGTTAAGAACTCGCGTCGTCGAGGTAATGACGAAACTTAATTAACGGTCGGGAGAGATTGAAGGGCACAGAACAAAGTTAACAGCAAGAGTGAGCGAGTGTAGTTCGGAATTCGTCATTCAGCCGGAAATGGAGGCCAGCCCTAAGGCTGTCCTGCTTCTCAGCCGGCTCCCGGAAATGTATTATTTCCAGTGAGCGGCGTTCTCCTCCCACCTAGTGCCGCCCCGGTAGGAATGAATTAGGAAGAGCGCCCGCGGCGAGGCCGACCTCGGCCTCTTGGGGATGATGAGCAGTAGCCCTGATTCATATTTCACTGATGACACACGTCGACTGCTCTCTCTCTCTCTCTCTCTCTCTCTCTCTCTCTCTCTTTCTCCTTCTGTTTGCTCCTACGAAATTGAAAACTTTCGATTTGCACGAAGATGCGTGCCGTTTATCTTCCTGACTGTGTACACACATTCGGTTGCTCTATCATTTATGCTCGACTGACATTAACAAGTTCCGTGCGCGATTAATGACACCGCCGTCGCTGCGAGGCTGATCTCCCAATAGTCGACCTCCGGAATTCCGCCGGGTAGAGCCTGCGCATGTATATTTTATCTAATGGATCGATTGCGTGCTCGAGCTTTTAGGTATATCGTAGGCACAAGTGTGCGTATGTGAGCAGGCACTCGTTTAATCCCTTCCTCGGTCCGACATTTGGAATTTTCCTCGCGCGGCTATGAGCCTTTGAGGTAGCGCAGTCTCGTTAAACACAGGAGCCGAACGCCGAATTTCTCTTTGTTCTTTGGGTCTCGATGGCTTGCCCGCGCTAGCCGAATAGATGGAAATTGCTCCAGCCAAGCGAATTCGTTTATCATCCATTCACGACGAATTATTCGGGCAGCGCGGGCAAATATTTTTTTGCCGATGGTAAGCGCACTGCGGACGAATTTGCGTTCGAACGGAAGCTCGTCCGCCGTGCATTGGCTGCGCCGCGGTGGAAAAGCATGAAATGCAATCGCAGACGAGTCAGGCTTTTAGCATGAGGAAACAAAGGGGCGCGAGCGCGAGCGGCAGTGGCACGAAAGAAAGCCAGAGTCGGAGTATATTGCATTAACTGCAGGAGCCAGACGGATTTCAAATATACTCAAGGAGGCTCTCTCCCTCTCTCTCAGTGCGGCGTCGGCGAGAGAAAGCGATATCGCGCCCGGTACGTTCCTGCCTGTGACAAGTGAGTCGGGCGTAGCGCGCACCCGCGTAACGCAATAAGTGTAATAAGACGGGCTTGAGGGAACATGGCTGAACGAGCGCGCGCGCGCGACGTCAAAGTGACACCAACTGTTGAAGGGCTACGTGATAGTCGGCCATGCGCGGCTGTCTGTTCGTGCCAGCGCCCGAGGTGTCGACGGAACGAACGCGCTGCCCCGGCGCCGGTCGTTATACTTATCATTATGACTTTTCACGTCGGCGAGGGCACGCGCGCATCGAACCAGCGTCACAAGCCGACTCGCACTCGGCACGATTGCTCGGATTACGCTAATTCAAAGTTGAAAGCAGGGCTGGTAAACAGAGGTTGACGCGCACGCTCCCACGTTTCCTCTGCGTTTGAGCGAGAACGAGAGAAGTCACGCGCTAGTTTAGGAAATTCCTGGGACACTGGCGGTCTCCGGTATATATAAACAAGGTCGCGCTCTGTTTGCGCCAAGACCGCGCTATCCGTTTGCTTGTGGCAAATTAGCCACCTGCAGTCGACGATGCAGCCGCGGCAACGCAGTGCCCAACAACGCGTGCTCGATCCTTCTTCACTGCGATCGCCGGCAGTTTTCTTTCTGGCTAATTCTTTGCTTGGCATCCATAGTTTTCAGTCAAACGGAAACCATAACTTTTTCCAGCTTCGCGTATCGAACGTCGTGTCTTCTTCAAATTACATTTATTTCTTGAAAAGCTCCTTCTCGCTACTCAATTTCCCGACCAATTTAGCTTCCAAGTTCCACGCTGCATTAAAGTTTTATATTGAAAAGTCGAGTTTGTCCATTCAAAAGCTAAGTGGATCCGCTCGTTACATCGAGATTAGAGGTTCAACTCTTGAAAATGGCTCGAATGCTTTTTATTAACTAAGACACCATTATATGGAAAAGCATTTGCGAGGAGAAACATAACGACAAAAGGTGGTAATAGCTTAATAGGACTTTATCACAAAGCTTTCTAAGCTTTTTGCTGTTTTTTGTAATAATAATATTGCCGAGTCGGCTTTCCAAGTATATTTATTATGACGCATTTCTTGTCATTGATTTACCATTACGATAATGGAGTTACTTTATGTATCAGCAAAGCTTGCGAATGTAAGGAGCTTGCATAAAAATAATTGATTATTATTTAGTAGAGTTGTTTTAGCTAGAATATTTCACAAAAATATATGTAGTTAATTCGTCGAATACGGATACGAATTACAAATTCGTTATAATTATTTGATAATATTTAACGAAATGCTGAGGCGTCAAAGTATTTATGAAATCACACAATAATTTGTAAGCCATTCAGGCAAAGAAATGAAAGAATACTAGAGTTTGATTATATCTCGTCTCCCAGCAAATCATAACGCATACAACGATTAACTTTATTGTAATGCACGGGCTATTCGAATAATACGATGTGTAGACATTGTGTACAGTAAAACAACCTCTACATCTAATAATGTCTTTCGTACCTTCTCTTCGAAAGTATTTTAATTGCTTTTAAAAAAGAGCTTGATTTATTTTCATGTGTATCACAATAATTATTTATAAAAATAATATTCTTATAAGTAGTGACAATCATTATTATTTGATCATCGTAAGCTCTTTGAAAAAAATTACTATTACGGTAAAAGGACATTATTTTCTTGCCAAAAAAGAATTCCTCGGAAACTCGCTCTAATTGACTTTACAGCATAATCATAAAAAGTTTTATGTACGGGTAAAAACAACAACTTCCCAAGACGAAGCGGTGAAAGTGATTAGTTCACGCGTGCCGTATCGCAGCCTCCACTATATCCTTCATGCTACACGGCGCTCAAGGTAGCGGTGAGCCATTGTCTGTCTCTTGCTGAGATTATTGACTCGTCATGCACTTCGCCTACACGCGCACTAGGTTCGCGTAACCGCTTCGAGTGAGTCCTTAAAGGTCGCGCCAGCACCTCATGTGAAACTGTGCTTGTAGATTCTGTTGTTGTCTACCATATCATTTGAGGATTTCCTGGGCTGTCATTGACTATTGTTTCGTCGTCATTACTGGCTTAGAGAGGAATCTACAAAAATTTCGAGAAGCAGTAAGAACGTTGCTTTACAAATAGACTTCATTTTGGTAAGCAATTGAATTGTGATGGATGACGATTTTACTTACCGTACGATGATGTGTGTAATGATAATAAAATTTCATAATTCTGAAAGAATATGATTTCTTTCTAACCATCAAGATATTTTATTCAAAACTTGGACTTTTGTACAATAAATTTTTATAAAAAAATTAAAAAAATGCAACCTTAGAAATATTTTGAAATATATATCATCTAGAATCAACTATAAAAATTTTCAGCGGTTGTAAATATTCATAACAAAGAAAAACACTGCGTATTATAAAGTATATTTGTACATGAACATTGCTAAACAACTATTTATAGGTATGTATGATGTCAACTGATCTCTATAAATTATATAAAATATAAAAGTATATACTTGATTTCTTTTCTACATTATAAAAAAACTCGTTTCTTTACACAACCATCAAACATATTAGTACTCGATTTAGTAATTTCATTTTTCTTTTTTGTAGTTCTGCACTCGTAAGCCTAATCTTCAGTGCTCTAAAAAGTAATATCACGCTCTCCCATTACAAAGCTACAAAAAAAATGGTTTCTTTCTAGTAACCCTGGAATGCACCACCAGGTCCAGCACCTGGGCCACCGAAGCGTGGCGTACCCTCGTATGTAACCTTGGCGGTGAAGCCGTGTTTCCAATCAGCCGTGTAGCTGACAATTTGAGTACGGCCGTCGGGCAATATCACCCGATACTCGCCTCTCGTCACATCGCCGTCGCTTATCGCATTGTGCGAGTAGTCGTTGCCGTAAGCGGCTTCCTTAACCGCGTAGTTGAAATCGAACGGCATACCTGGCTCGTGGACGTGATCATCGCCGTGCTGTGAAATAATAAAAACAAGTTTAGAATATGTATAGATTGAGATGTTCAGAATCTTTGTAGAATTGTTTGCTCAATTCTTTTGTACTGGTTACATGAAAAGATATATGAAGGATAAAGCCAACTACGAGCTTTTATCAAACACTTTTCTTCCTAGAAATATCATTTCCGCTACGTTGCATAAAGTTTTACCAAAAACTGTGACTTTTATTCAGAAGTAGCAAGCGAGAAAAAGCTTAGTACCTACAGTTTCCAAAGAATTCTTTCTACAAGCTGTTACATTTATTTCAGAAAATATTTGCTTGCAGAAAACATAAAAAAAAAAGAAAAAAAGAAAATGAATGAATTGAAAAATTTAAACCATTTTGAAAGCAAATTTTCCATTGAGCGATATTACCAACTCTCGGCTAACATATTCCACTACAAACTTTAATAGCCGATTGATAAAGGTAGCAGATTGGCTCTCATGCGAATGAGCAAGCGGCAATTTCATTCAGCGCGGGAATATCCTTGCTCGGCATATTTCCCCGTTTTTTCGCTCTTCTCTCTCTCTCTCTCTCTCTCTCTCGCTCTCTCTCTCTCGCTCTCTCTCTCTCGCTCTCTCTCTCTCTCTCTTTTTCTCTTTTTCTCGCGTGAAATGAAAATTCCGATAATAAACTGATATTCAATTCCGTTACTCGCGCACATGCACATACACGTGCACAACGGCGTCGCTCGAAACAATTGCGACAGCTGTCGAATCGAAATTACATTCCTCGCGACGAGCTGCAGCAATGTGCAGAAAAGAGAAATATTAGCAGAGCATATGCGAGCGAGTGCAGAGAGCGCGCATCGCCTAGCAATTTACCTGTCGCTATATCATTCTTTCGTTCACTCGGTCTCACCTTTTGCAGCTATCGATACGAAGTAATCGGCCGCTCTCCAACGCCAATTTTTCTTTCTCCTTCACTTCAAAAATCTTGCGAATACAGTCTCTAATATAACTCGATGTGTGATAATACGTCGGCGAACTGCATATATGTCGTACGTGTCATAAATTGCAATAAATTATCATGATCACGTTTATTCTAGACTTCTATAATACCCGGCGTATAACAAAATATTTCTTTGCCGGGGAGCGAGAATTGCACAAGTGACATTCGCGCGCGATCAGGAGGTGTGATTCCGACGCGCAGTCGCGAGCGTACGAGAACGAAATAGGCGCGACAAAATAAAATAAAGTAAATTTCGTTCGCCTAGCGAGAGAGAAGGAAAAGCCGAAGGGAGGATGTGCAATGATCGATCTAGCTTCGCGTATATACGGCGCGCGTCACGCGATCAGCGCACGGCGAACGATAAGGGTAAAATCGAAAATGGCGCGCGCACGGACGGGTCGCGTGTGAGTGCGATTGATCCGAGATGCGTATCTCCGCGCGAGCTGCATGAGCTTTGGCGCGATGATAGGCTGCGTGTTTGCGCGCTAATTGCCACCTGCCTGAGAAAGAGCGCTGATTGAGGTGTCGCGCCCCGGTACTGCTACCGCCAGAAGTTTTGCGCGCGCGCGAGAGAGCGCTTGCAATTAGTTTTATTGCCGCTTGGCCATTTGCTAAAAAAGAGATTATTATGGTTTTCGACTCGCGGGGCTTATTTTTTTTTATCCTTCGCTCGTACTTTCTTTTTCGAATAGCGCGCTATAACGTTTGAGTAATTTAGCCAGCCATTAACTGTCGAGAAATAACGAGCTGACATTACTCTCTTATCTTTAAACAAATGTTAATGTAGTATACAGATTCTTATCAGCTAAGTAGCTTTGGACAGATCGCATTGCAACGCCGTGATCCAGCTCATCTAATAAGTAAACAAATTTTCCAGACGAAAATTAATCGCTGACTCGTGACTCTAATCAAAATAAATCAAGTCGCAAATAATACAGCAATTTTGAAAAATACACGATACACGTATAGTTTTCTTGGTGTAATTGCAAGACCTCGTGATTTGGCGCGCTCGGCACGTTCGAGTAGTGATGATCCCGAAGAAGGGTTCAGTCGCGTGAAAATAATCGATCAAAGCCAATTTATTCACCGGAGCGCCGTCGTCTAAAACTCTTGTGATTTAATTCTTATTAATTACATTGAACTTTTCGATCACGTATACACGTGGAACTCGATGGTGGTAAATTTACACATTTTTAGCTATAGATAAAGACTAAATTGTCTTCTACGGTAGGCTGGACGTGTAAAAAAAAATAGTTGAGAAAGAGAGAGAGAGAGAGAGAGAGAGAGAGAGAGAGAGAGAGAGAGAGAAAGAAACATTTGGAGGACTAGCTCGCGCGCGATTGCCATCGACAGCGGCTGAGGTATACTGCCGAGAGTACGTATACGTGTAGTCGTATGCGTGTGTTGTTCGAGAGGGTTGCTATCGCCAAGACAATTTTCTCGCCAATTTATGATCTCTTAACTTCGGACGCTTCTTTCTTTTCGCTATACGAAAAGTGTAGTTCAACTATTTTCACGCAAGTTATGAGCTCGGATATCTTGGTATATATACCGTCTTTTTCAAGAGATCCTTTCACGCTCCACGTATTATCTGACTGACTTTTCCTTTTACATTTTATTTCGAGCGTTTCGTACTTTGCGGCATAGCTTTCTTGTCAGATTGCGCGCGTTTGTGTCTTTCGACAAAGCATGGTTTTCATAATTTCTTAAATCAAGCAAGAGCACTGTGAAAAAGAAAGTTCGACGTTCGGATGAACCTCGTTGCTGGAAGGCGTTTGCAAAAATCTCACGAGCTCTAACGAATCTTGCCAAAGCTTGGAGTTTGCGCTTCGAAAAGAATAAAAGACGAGACGAGAAATATTGCTGTAAATAATACAACATAGATTTAAAATGTCTTCATTACTCATTGCCGCTGCATTCATAATTAATGTGCATTCCTTGTGCTCGTGCTTGCGACAAACGAGCGCCAGTCGAGGCCTCTTTTGTTGGTAGTGTCGGTAGTGCGCTTCGCACTTCGTGCACTCGCAGACGAGATAATATCAAAAAACCTACACACGCGCGGACGAAACGTGGCATTGCGGTGGCCAAAGCAGTCCTTTGACTGATTAAAACGAGCGAAGTAATTTCTTTAAAAATATATGATCCTCGCGTTGACAAAAAAGAGAAAAAAATAAATAACGCGAGTACGCGACGTTAATTAACGAATGCACTTCTTGGTTGAAAACTGTTTAATGCGAATCTATTCTTCCCAGAATTTTTTAATAAAGTAAAGTGAACTGACTTTCGTCGTTTTAATTACATCAAGTACGTAGAAAGAGAGAGAGAAAGGGGGAGAGAGAGAGAAAGGGGGAGAGAGAGAGAGAAAGAGAGAGAGAGAGAGAGAGAGAGAGAGAGGGACAGAGGATGAGCGCAACAAAAGCAGAAAAACTAGGTGAGACGCGGCTTAAAATGAATCCACGAGGCGTATTTTTCATAGCAGACAAAGAAGGAATGCCTTTCATGGTTAAAGCGCCAGTGCAAAGAGCGTTAACGGAATGAAAAGGCAAAAGAGCGTGCTGCTTAGAAAAAAGTATAACCGGCAAAGAAAATTAATCATAGTGTGCATCAAGTATAGCCTTTGATATGGGAATCCGCTCTCTAAACGTTCGCGATTGTGCAGTCAGCGCCGACACTGTCTCGAGATTTCTCATTTCAACAAAATTAAATGTCAGGCAAAGCCGACGCGCCTTCGAAGTTTCAATTGGAGCGGCAAAAAAGAGGACTGAAAGACGGTCTTTGGCCATCTCGCAGCGAAAAAGGAAGCTTTGTTGTTTTCCAGGTCGCTTGTGTACGACGTCGCTGCGCTGCACCCTACGCTAGCGTGAGCCGTAACAGTGTGCAGGCGCGTGTTCGCCGATAGCTGCCGACTCGTAAAAACCGCGAATGAAAAAGACGAGCGTCCGGAGGGCGTATACACGTCGGCTGAAAAAGAAACTTGCCAGCTAGCGCGCGCCCACCCACACCCACACACGCACGCGCGCACACATACACACACACACCTATACAGCTACATGGCGTAAGCTTCGTTAGCCCAAAGTTTCGCCGCAAGAAAGGCTTTATCGCTTTGGCAAATATCTACTCGGGAAACGCCAGCGTGCAGGCTATATAAGAGCGAAGTGGAGCAGCGCGCGATCGTTTGCTTGCGGGTAATTCGAAATTTTCTTGCCCGCTGAACATGCGCACATCAGCGCGCCCAAGGTGACGTCGTTATACACCACTTGAAGCGGATTTATTTGAAATTCAGTCAAGGCATTGTCTCCTTACGCAACACAACATTTCACTCGCAGTGATAATTCAATGAAATCAAATTAAAAAATCCAGCCTTACCCCACTAGGGGAGCCGCTGTAATCAGGAAATCCAGGTGTAGGCCTAGGCCCAGGCGCAGGATATCCGCCACCGGGTGGCGACGGCGGCCTGCTGGGTCTTGGTGGTGGTCTCGATGGCGGTCCAGTTGGGAAGGTCGGTGGTGGTCTGGCCGGCGGTCCAGTTGGGAAATTCGGCGGTGGCCTCGCTGGCGGTCCAGTCGGGAAGCCACCCCCAGGTGGCTTATTGTAATCGTAGCCGGGTTTGCTTGGCTCGGGTGGCAGATAGGTGTTGCTACGTCTGGTGCCTGGCGGAAGATCGGCTAGCACACCCGCCGCTAGCAGACAGACCAGCAGCAGCGTCAGCTGGATCACGTGAGAGCACACAAACAGCCTCGTTAGTCATGCTAATTACGGATGTGCATTGCACGCATCCGAGAGAGAGAGAACGATCGATGGATTTACTGTATATACATACTCTTGCGTTTGCTAGCTTGGGTTTCCGCATTGCTAATTGCTTAATTATCTTGCGATTCTATTCTTTTTCTCGCGTGCACATTTTCTCGTCTCTCGATGTAATTGAAATGTGCCCTTGCTATTACTCTCGGCTTTGACATAAGTCATACATAAAGTACAATCGGTAAATCAAAAGAATAGAGAGAAAGTTATTACGAATGTTCGAAAAATCATCGTTCAAACAAAAGGAAGGATTGTCTCACCAATAGGATTATTTATTATCTACTACTACACGTATCGCGTTTGAAATGTTGTAATTGGAAACCGCCTATAATTTTAATACTATCTGCTTGATATTTCATGTATTTGACAGAATGAATTATCGGAAAGATTTCACATTAATTGCAGTGTGACATTCTATAATTATACAGATACTCAGTGTAGAAGTAACCGTATCTACTATTACGCTCACACAATTAAACTTTGTTATATTATGTCCAAATAAAAAACGTACTTGTGGTAAAAAAGGTAAAGAAGTAGATAGAGAGAAAGAGAGACGGGAGCGTGATAACACGGTTGTCAGGGCTAAGCCGTGCAATGCAAGCCACTCAATCAACAACGCTCCTTTCGAATTTCACGGTAAGCGTAGCTACAACACAAGAGACAGAAAGCAAGAGGGAGAGAGAGAGAGAGAGAGAGAGAGAGAGAGAGATGAGAGGCTTGCGCGCACCCACATACACACATACACACACATCTACGGCGACGGTTGCATGGTTATCGCAATTTCTCGAACAATGCCCTGACCTTTTGCTCTCGCGATCAGATATATACACACACAGAGCTGTACATGTACGCGCCGCAATGTCTCATATCGCCCCGAGAGAGGAAGAAAATTACCGTAATTTCTAGTAGCGCGAGCGAGAGCGCAGGATGCGCCGATATTTCGACGAAGGACGTAACCGTAGAGAGAATGCTGTACGAGCAGCGAGCAGCACCTTATGTTTCGGACGTTATTGCCAGCATCGAAAGAGAACCGACGCTCCCTTTCTATATCGTTGCACCTCGCTTTGTCAAGCAATTCGAGGAGAAAAGCATATCACGCACACGTGGAGCCTCGAATACCGAACGATAACTGCAATTCCATACGGTCGACCTACTGCGATCGGCCCATCCCCTCGTTATTTTTCAATTGCCAAACGGAACAAACGAAATCCAGTTAATCCCCCATCAATCTTAATTAAAACAAAGTTTGAGAAAAGTTGGCTGTAGCACGCCGAGCGCGTCGCTCGCTGAAGAAGTTGGTAAACACGTAGTTAACCTAAGTAGTTCTACCGTTGAAGAGTAACTGATTCCCCTCCCTTCAGGAGAGCGGTTTTACTTTTTATTCACGCGCGCGCCCCAGAAATAATTACTCGGCTTACCCTGAAAAGGACTAACGAAGCTCTCTGATTCTTGCGCGCAAGGATCAAAGATGCACCTATTGGTTCCCTTGGCCAAGCTAACACAACGAGGACAACCATACTCGTTTGACAAGGCACTCGGAAGAGACTCGGGAGATTAAAAAAAAGGGATTGAAGGGTGACGCCGAGGAGGACCAAGTAACGAGGGCTGGGACTGATATCAAAGAATTGGCTGGCGGATAGGGCGACACAGTAATTACGAGTACGGCCGCTTGCGAAAATATTCCACTTTTCCTTTTTGTCCGGAGTGCGCCGTCCCGTAAAACCGTTAGTTACCGAGTATGAGCTTTTGCACGAAATGAAAGTAGTGCTTAATATTGAAAACTGTAGTCAGCAATGAATAAGTAACCAATCGACTTTGCTAAATTTTATTGCGATTAAATATTATCGGATCCATTTCCCTTTGTACAATTACTGTACGCGCATAAGAAGCACTCATGTGCGTTTCAATATTCGCCTCCATTGGTATATGAAAGCATACAATTAAAAGTTTAATCTTGAGGACAGGAATGGCACATATGTACTTATCCACCAGCTGAGCGACGTTGAGAGGTTGAAAAAGTCGGCTGGAAAAAATTTGCTCGCGATACTATCATAATCTGCATACTTTATCGATCAGCTTGCTGCTAAAGAATAAATAAGTTGTAGAAATATATTAACGGTTAGAAAAAAGTCATTTTGTGTATGCAATCAATCAGAAAAAAAAAGAAAAGAAAATGAGTGCAATCGAATACATCTGATAGATTGGCCGAGAAAAAAAATAAGAGAACGAGAGGTAATTTATACGCGAAGCGAACAGGCGATTATTCAGGCGTAGAGCGACAGTTTCATTTGTCGCTTGCACCGAGAGGTACAGCTCTCGCTTGCACACACGTAAGCGCTTTGTCACGCGAGTGCCTTGGCTCGTTGGTTGCTACTTTTTGTTATTCGGTTTTATTCCTCCTCTGCTCGTTTACTCGGCTACGTAGTGCGTAGCTATTGGTCAGCTCGGCGACACAGACGTGTCCACGTAATTCGATGCTTTCGTGGCGACGACGTGCGGTACGTACGTTTCATTAATCTCGAGATGGATGTGCTGCTCGGCGTTGCCGCGTGCGACGTTAGAATATTAGTTGTTCGTTATATTTACGCCTGTCGCGCCTAGGCGATGAACCTACGCGCGGCCAAAGTTTAATATTTCAATATTGAAAATTCCATTCGAGCATGATGTTGGCTTATGATATTTATGTGCACATATACATACATTGGAGGATTGGAAAAGTCTCACAGGAGGGTGGATAAATCGAAGCTGCTGAAAAATAAATCGCGCGCAGTTACGACGACGACTACGGCGGAGAATTCACCGGAGCGTTTTTTCGGTATATATAGAGAGCGCAAAAATCTCGGGGCGAAGAACGCGACGAACGTGTACACAATAAACAAGAGAAAGATAGGTGCGCGCGCGATAAACAGGTAACTACGCGTAAAGCCTTGTGTGGAAGTATAAACGTTGTGTATGTGTGCACCGGTTTTACAAATTCCCATTTCATTGCTTCGACAAATCCAATTTTTCCGCGGCCAGTGCGGTAAATTTTATCTTATTTTTTTTCTCTGCCAATTACGCGAGATCTATTGTTTTATTTCGCGCTAGCGTCTCGCCAGAAATTTCAAAGAGAAAATCCTTTGTAAAGTAGATTATTCGTCGGCGAAAACATTCCTTATTTTCGAAGAAAATCGAACAAAGTAGCGCTTATTCAATAACGTCAGCGCTCCCGCGCGCAATACACCAGATTTACGCGAGCCCCTACTTACGTGAGTATTTTCGCTTAGCAGCGTTGTTCTATCATCAACCGAATAAATATTTAGCCGCGGCAGTGCGACGAACAAGTTGTTTAGCGGTGCAAAATCAATAGCCAAAAGAAAGCTCGCCAAGCGGCAAACTACGGCCGCCTCCAGCAAGGAAAGCTAACATTTGCTGCGGTTGTGTAACCGTCCAGAAAACTAGAGCGGGGGAGCCTCTCGGCCACGCTCGCGCGCATCCGATACATCGTCGCTCCTTATCGCTCGTCCCGATAAATTTAGCACGCGATAAGCATCGGCCCTGGGCGTGAGACGTGACCGCGCTAAGGGAAATTTGCCCACCACCTCGAATCCCACAATAACCCGCTTAGATGACTTCCTCTTGGACAGGTCAGCGCGATTAGAGATCGTCGATGCAGATACGCTTTGTTTGTATCTTCGTACGCCAGTATACATGTATATATGTGGCTACGTAGGAACATACGCTTTGACGGCAGATACTCTCTGCCTTGTACCGCAAGCTGTTTGATAAGGTACCTCGGTGCATTAGTCCCTATCCGCTCCTGCTACTGCCCAAATTCAACTGTACTATATATAGATCGTGCCGGTTCGAAGTTGTAGATTTCAATGCGCGGACCTTGTCGCATGAATTTTTTCTTTTCGCACAGATTTTATCTGAATTGGAAAATGCATGTGAGCTAGGCAATTCAATTCTAGTAATTGTTCTTTTCAAGCTTTTAGTACGTATCAATCCAGTAATTGATAATAAATATTAAATTAAACTGGAAACGTCGATATTACTTTCTGATCTATTTTCAGCATTTCTGTTTCAAGATCTGCCAAATTCATTGAATCAATATTATTAGCTTCTCTGGTTACTGGTTTTAATTCAGGTTATTTAATTTTTTTTATTTAAATGAAACGCAACACCAATCAAATATCGGAAAAAGTGCGACGATAAAACGACATCTAGTTGAAAATTTTGCATTTCTTTTTTAATAAGTTCTCCGACGAGACGTCGATTGTGAGAAGAAAAGAAGCAAAGTCGCATTGTAACTGAAAAGTGTGAGGGTCGATAGGTCGCTTGCAACATTAATAGCCAACAGGCGCGAACTTTACCTGCTCTGGTGAGGCGCCTAGGAACATGACGATGCCTCGTTATCCGTCAGCGTCAGCTCTCCTCCCAGCGATAACGAGCAGTTAAAGGCTTCAACGAGCCTCGGACGATCTCTCGTGCGGTGGCACCCGCCCAATCGGAGATACCGATCGAATGCGCAGCGCCTTCAGCTAAGCTTCTTCTTCGTCTTTTCCCTCCAACTAACGCTTCTCCGGCTGACGCTCGCTGATTTTATTTTAACGAAAAAGGGGGCATTAAACAAATTTACTTCGTGCAGACCTTTTTTTTTCTTCTTTGGCTTGTTTCAGTAAACGATTTTTTTTTCTGCCGCGTGACTGACGTCTAACTTATTTCGAGTTATTCGAAATATCGATTGCGCGTGACAATCAAATAGATTTCAGTTTAGATTGAACAATTGACCCTTCATTTAACAATGGTATAAATAATAAATAATTATATGCATACAACATATTCGTATAAAGAATAACAGGCTAAATAAACGTTGGTATAAAGTTGCTTGCACGTTGTCTAGTCAGTGAGAGAGAGAGAGAGAGGAGGTGGAGGGGGGAGGGGGATGAAATGATGCGATACGCGTTTTCTAGATGAAAAAGTAGCGAAAAGTGAGTAATTGGTCGGCATCAATTGTGCGGCAGCGCGTGGTTTTTCATAAAGCGTCTTTATCGTAAAACTGCAAAAACAGGTCGAATGAGCGAACTACTGCTTAATTCGTCGCGGGCATATTTCATTAGGTCTATAAAATTGCCAAATTATTTGGGACATTGAGGAACGTTTTTATTCAACCGACCATGCATTTATTCGATTCGAAGTTTCTCAGTGGTCAATGAACGGTCACTGTTGTCGCACAAAAATCACCAACGGCTGTAAACTGGCGTGCCTCGCGCGCAAAGCGACAGAGCGCAAAAATGGAATGCAGTCGCGCCGGAAACAATGCCAAAAGATAGAAAAAAATAGGCACGTGTGAGAGCGATGCACTGCTGGTTGAAAATGGTACTACTTGCACTAGTGACTGTGTAGAAGATGCGGCGCGCATTGGACGTGAGAGAGCGCCGGCGGACAAAGTCGCTGGCTGACTGTTCGCCATGCCGGCAACCGGTGTTTATATAGCGTGCGCCTAATAAGATGGTCCTTCGCTCTCTCGCTCGCGCCTCCTCCCTTCTTACTTCGTCCTCTCCTTGGCGCAAGCTGCTACTCCTCTCTCGTTCTCTCTTTCTCTGTCTCGAGAGAGGGCAAGTACGCGTGTGGGATTTCGATCCACGATGAGAGAAAGACAGTCTCGCTAATTATTCACGAGTTACCGAGAGAGCGAACGGGGAATCGTGGAAATGTTGACCTTTTCTTAGTAGCTGCGCAGACGATCAAGCACTGCTCTCGATGGGATCGCCGCTTTAATAGTTTAGCAGATAAAGTCGAGAATAGTCGTCAGCTATTTGGACGACGATTTGCTCCTGCCACGATCCATTCGATCTAGTCGAATATTTCGATTTTTAATACTCGCATTCGCTAATCGATCCTTTTTTTTTCGTTCGACGCATTTCTTCGCGACTTATTTGATTTGCGAGCCATTTGAATCCAATTTACCGAGGCTTTCCGATTTTCACGCAGCAAAATTGGATTGCCCGGATAAATTGAGTTTCCATCCCATTTTCACGAAAGTCTTCCACGCTGGCGCCAAGAATTGGGTTAATCGCGCTTCATGAGATTGAGATTCGATCATGGTCTAATTATTTTCAATCATTATCGTATTTCCGGAAAAGGGGTCAAATAAAACCTACTTTTCCTTTGCATTACCTTTTGCCTCGCAAGTCTTATCAAGATAGATCCGCACGGTGATTGCTCATAAAATACAGTACGCCCATACGTCTTGACAACGCAGTGGCATTCGGTGCGCGACGAATGAAATTTCTATGTAAGTAATTTATCGAAAGCATTGGCAAGAGATAGCTCTGCATACAAGCGCGCGCGTGCAGCGCTCGAGGAAGTTTAGTTACGCGATACCTCGGTTTTTCGATTACCCTTGTCGACGTTGCCTCCTGTACCTCCTCTCCTCCTCCTCCTCCTCCTCCTCCTCCTCCTCCTCCTCCTCTTCGAAAGAGAGAGACGATATTGAGGTGAACGCTCGAGTTAGGCCACTCCCGGCGAGTTTATACCATCGGTGCCCGTTACTAACCAACATTTTCCGATTTTTCTTCTTTCGACGCCATAGACGCTGAATCTGCTCGATTACAAAACATTTTACACGCGGCTTCAGAACACACTCTGCTTCGTTTACTTCTTTTTCTTTTTATCAAGTTTTTAATGAGGAAATTGTCTTTGCCGTTCGGCTAGAAAGTGGTGTCTACACTTACGTAATTGAAAATGTCATCTTCTTTACTTCGGAAAAGTTATTTCTCATAAAAATAACTAGTGACTTGAGAGACTCCTCTCGATATGAATGATCTGCGACGTCAGTTCAAGGAAGCGGATATTGAGCATCAGTCAATATTCTTTTACCACATAATATAATGTTTGTCACGTAAAAAATGAGGGTCTATCAGTCGAAAGTATTGATCATGGCATAAATAATGCCGCTGAGAAAGGTAACAAAGTTAAAGTAACTCATTCGCGCGAGAGAAGTGAGGAGCGACGAGAAAAAAACGGAACGTAGATCGTAGACGAAAAATAAGTTAATCCGGTCGCGAGTACGACTGACTGAAATGGAATCGAGGATATCTGCCTGAGCCGTCAAACGACTTTGCACAGGAAGCGAGCAACCCTCGACGTTTGCTCGCGATGGGAGAAGCCATTTTCCTGCTGTTGACTTCTCCTTGAATAAGCGACGTCGACGTGCAGTATGAGAAGTCGAGTGGTAGCTAGTGCCCACACACCTACCTATTCTGCTTGCCTCGAGATGACGCGAGCCTTTTTTCTTGCCTTTCCGTTTATGTACACGCTTGGTAAATGATCTTTTATTGCTCCTCTCCCCCCTTGTTACGCGACAGATGCGTGAGACTCTCGTTATTACCCAACTATACTCTCCATCCAAACGTCTTCGCGTCTGTCGCGGAAAAGATATTTTTCACGGAGATAGCAAATCAAGCGTTTCAGTGGGACGCCAAAAGAGCCGAGCTCTCGGCGACGGATGCACGCGAGCGTCTGTTTCAAGCCTTTGTACGCACATACAACTACTACAGCTCGTGGAAGAAACCTTGTGCTCGCATCAATTGCACCCGTGAGTCGGTACACGAGTAGCGACGTAGCCTGCGGCATCTACTATAGCTGCGCCATACGCCGGAGACGCTACGTTAAAAATCGAAGATGCCCTCGCCCCTCGTCATTGAATTAATTGCACAAGTGAAATTGCACAAAGCGATCGGCAAGTAATGCCCAAAATATGACTCGCGACACGGAATATATGGATGATCCTTGGATAAAACTGCATCAGGTTCAAGCCTTCATTTTTACAAAACGTCATTAAGCGAAAAAAGATTGATATCGCTCGACGAATGCAAGCAAAATACTATTGACGAAAAATTTGGCGAATAAAATAGACGCGTCGCAATGTCGCAGTTGATGGCAACGTTTATTGTTGCCTTTTTCCTCTTTGACCCACGTGTATGAAAAGAGCCGACAACATGCGACGAAAGACACAGCGTCGTGGTTCTTTTTAGGAGAGCAAAAAGCAGCGAGTCAGCGGCACACACAGGCAAACACTCAGCACGCAGTTTTTGTAGCATGCATCCAGCGTAAATATTCATAAGAGAATAGAGAGGCAGGCGAAAACCGAGTCCAGACAAAGGTTAAAGCGAAAGAAAAGAAAGAGAAAGAGGGAAAGTAGAATAGAGCAATAGAGCAGCAGCAGCAGCAGCAGCAGCAGCAGCAGCAGCAGCACCGGCACTGGTTCGAGAGAGCGATCGAGAGGTGTGCAGAGCAGCTCGCTTTCGACGCTCCAAATGAACAAATAGCGGGTGAAAGGACAACAAGAGAGCTGCCTCTCTACGTCCATGCCAATATATCCTATAGCCTCTCCGCTCATCCAACCTCTCTACAACTCTACCCTGTTTGATTTCAAAGAGACTGCCGTTGCTGCTTCAGTCGAGTTTTCAATGAAGACCAACACACAGCTTGGCTCGATCAGCGCGTGCTCACAATTAAAGGATTCGAGGAATAGCTAATAACACTTAATACCGCCATTCCGACGACGCGCTTATTTTTGGTTGCTCGGAAATGAAGCATCAATAAAGGCACCTCTACGTGTTTTACATGGATGTCGCAAAAACACTTTCCTCCATTTCCTCTCATTACGTGACCCCGGAAAACTTAATTATATTGTCCATAGCGCGAGCTTGAGCCAGTCGAACGGGAGCAAGCTAGTTTGACAGCTGGTTTCACCACCGTGAGCAAACAGAAATGAAAGAAGCGCTGTGTTTGCGCGTCGGTCTATCTGCACATTTGTAATTGAGTCTGGGAGTTGCGCGCGCACACACAACATTGTGAAATCCTGCGGGACTGCGCTGCTATAATAATTTTGCCGAAGTTGCGGGCCGCGAGAACGACGTTCCGTCACGCGACAATGGCGCGCGTTGCTGACTTTAATTAGTCTTGTTCGAAACTGCGTCGCCCTTCCTTGTTCACTTAGCAGCGCGCGCGCGCGCGCGAAAAACTATCCAGGGATGAGCCGACCCACTTGCAAATAATTATCTCTACGTGCGCTTCCGCCTCATTATTTTTTGTTGACTATTTCTCCTGCTTCTCTTTTCTTCCTTTCGTTTTCTTCTATTTTTTGTTTATTTTTTGCGAAAAAAACTACGTGCGAGACTATATTTTCCCATGAGGGATTCTCATGGGACGCGTATGTCTGCTTTGCAGAGAGCTCCAAGGAGGCTAATTACACACTCAATTAATCAGCCCGTGTGTCGTTGGAAATCGTAATGTGGATGTCTCCATTTTTTTCGTGTTTTTAACTGCGCTCTCACCTATATCATCATTATCGTCCGTCCAGGTGTCATTATGCACTTGCCTCAACAATGTTTGTTGCCATCGCGTATCCCGAGACGGAATCTCTTACGTGACTGCAATAACGCTAGCCGACGATAATAAGTCATTAGCATTCGGCTCCTTCGCATACAAGTATGTACACTCGGTGAGCACATGGACTTTGCTGCAGAAGCTCTGTTAATGAAATAAGCAAATGAAGCAATTTTTGACAATTTTCACTCGGCTTGCAGTTCCCAGCCAAAAATTGAAAATATAATTCTGAGACTTATACTTGATCAGAAAAAGTCCAGTACAGAGTTTTTTGAGCCCAAATATCAAAAACAAAATATTTAGCCTCGAAATAATTCCACATATTCAACAGCCTTACTTGTAGACAGTTTTTTATTTCCGATTTGCCAAAATCCTATTTTTACTTGATGCTTCTTCATACAGTAATCTCGACTATAACGACAGGATCTAGAAAAATATGAGGGATAAAAGCCCGTGATCAAATATTCACAATAACTAAAAAACAGCCAAGGCGCGTTGTCTGCAATATCCTATATAGCCAGCCCTTCTTCCTTCTCGCATGAGTGCGGCGTCAAGAGCTTTGAGATCCGTTTTAGCGTGGAAAAGCTTCTGCCAAGGATATCCCCTTTGTGGGCAGGCTAATCCGGGGTATAGAGCAGTGGCGCATAGATTATACCTGCGAACGCTTCTGGAGCTACACACCGATCGCGCGCGCACACGGGTTGAAATGGTTCGCAGCAGGGAGTGAATTGCGACTGCAACTAATAGGACGGCAGCGTTGCTGTAACTTTGGTTTCGTTTCGGAGCGCTAACGAGAACGTCGCTCCAAGGGATTGATGCGTTCGTAGGTAATATGCCCTACCGCATACATCAGATTTCGGTAGAATGTACTATTAGCCATTATGTGCCAAAGCTTTTATAATATATTTTACGCGTAATAATTGTATGCGCCTCGGCCGATTAAGTTAATAGAGATGTTAGATATTGCTCGACGTGTAGCTGCGCTTTAATCGCACGGTTTTCATCGCAGCATTTTCGAACGCTCAGCTCCGGCTGCTTGTTGCTTCGA